CTGCAAGATAATAAACCCTCAGCCAAAACAACCTTGAAAAAGAACAAAGTTGAAAGACTCACATGTTGTGATTTCAAAACTTACCACAAAGCTACAGTAAGCAAAATAGTGCGGTATTAGCATAAGGACAGCTATCTAGAACAATGGAATAGAACTAAGAGTCCAGAAATGAACCCATATATCTATGGCCAAGTGCTCTTCAATGGGGGTACTAATAGATGGGGATTGAATAGTCTCTTCAACAAATGGTGCTGAGACAACAGGATACCTGCCTGCAAATAATGAGGTTGGACCCCTACCTCATCCCATATACAAAAATTAACTCAAATGTATCAGTGACCCAGATATAAGAGCTAAAATCATAAAACTCTTAGAAGAAAACATAGGGTTAAATCTTTATGAACATGGACTTGGCAGTACATGCTTAGATATGACACCAAAAGCATGAACAAGAAGAGAAAAAATATACAGGTTGGGCTTCAACAAAATTTAAAATTTTTGTATGTTCAAGGACATTATCAAGAAAGTAAAAAAGACAACCTACAGTATAGAAAAAAATAACTGCAGATCATATATCTCATAAGGGTCAGTAAATTATATAATTAGCTTACCCAGAAAATGTAAAGAACTCTTACAACTCAACAACAAAAAGGCAAACAACCCAATTTAAGAATGGACAAAAAAACTTGAATAGACATTTCTCCAAAGAAGATACACAAATTGCAAATAAGCAGATGGGAAAAATGTTCAACATCATTAGCCACTAGAGAAATGCAAATCAAAACCACAATGAAATAGCACTCACATCAACAATGATGCCTATAATCCAAAGGTGGGGAAAAATAAAAAGGAAAATAACAAGTGTTGGCGAGGATGGAGAAATTAGAATCCTTGCACATTGTTGGTGGGAATGTAAAATGATACAGCTCCTATGGAAAACAATTTGACAGTTCCTCAAATTGTTAAACACAGAATTACCATGTGACCTAGCAATTCCACTCCTAGGGACACACCAAAAAGAATTGAAAACAGATATCAAATACTTGTATATATGTTCATAGCACTATTCACAATAGCCAAAAGGCGGAACCAATCCAACTATCTATCAACTGATAAATGAATAAACAAAGTGTATATGCATACAATAGAATATTATTCAGCCACAAAAAGGAATGATGTACTTCAAAAACATTATGCTAATGTTTTAGAAGCTAAACAAAAAAAGACCACACCTTGTATTAACCCATTTATGTGAAATATCTAGAATAGATGAACCCATAGAGACAGAAAGTAGCTTGGTGGTTTCCAGGAACTGGGCAAAAGAGGGAATGGGGAAGTGCCTACTTAATGGGTACAGGGTTTTATTTTGGAACAACGGAAATGTTTTGGAACAGAATAAAAGTGGTGGTTGCACAACATTGTGACTGCACTAAATGCTATTGAATTGTTGTTTACTTTTAAATGGTTAACTTTATATGAATTTCACCTAAATAAATAAAAATGTTATTAATAAGTATAAATTATATCCAGAAAATATTTGCTTTTACTGTAAATATTAAGAGATTTGAAAAAATATAAGCTTCCAATAAATTCACTATTCTTTTAATCTAAGGTTTTGCCTAATACATACATTGAAGTATTGTAATTTAAAATATGGATGGACTGCAGGGAAATACAAATCAAAACTACAATGAGGTGCCACCTCATACCAGTGAATTGGTGAAAATTAACAAGACAGGAAACAACAAATGTTGGGGAGTATGTCGAGAAAGGGGAACCCTCTTGCACTGTTGGTGGGAATGCAAACTGGTATAGTCATTCTGGAAAACAGTGTGGATGTTCCTCAAGAAGTTAAAAATAGAGCTACCCTACGACCCAGCAATTGCACTACTGGGATTTACACCAAAGATACTGATGTAGTGAAATGCCAGGATACCTGCACCCGATGTTTCCAGCAGCATTGTCCACAATAGCCAAACTGTGGAAGGAGCCTCGGTGTCCATTGAAAGATGAATAGGTAAAGAAGATGTGGTCTATGTATACAATGGAATATTACTCAGCCATCAGAAGAGACGAATACCCACCATTTGCTTTGATGTGGATGGAACTGGATGGTATTGTGCTGACTGAAATAAGTCAATTGAAGAGAAAGACCATCATCATATTGTTTCACTCATATGTGGAATGTAAGAAATAGTGAAAGGAATTATAAGGAAAGGAGGGGAACTGAGTGGGAAAAATTAGAGAGGGAAACAGACGATGAGAGACTCCTAACTCTGGGGAACAAACAAAAGGTAGTGGAAGGGGAAGTGGGCAGGGGGTGGGGTAACTGGGTGACGGGCAATGAGGAGGACACTTGATGGGATGAGCACTGGGTGTTATACTATATGTTGGCAAATAGAATTTAAATTAAAAAATGTAAAAAAAAATATGGATGGACTGGAGGGAGGCAGGGTACATGCTTCTCCATGTCAGATGATTCAGACAGTGAAATACATAAAGCTTCCTAAGTTCTGTGCTTCTTAAATTCATGCTTTGTATTCTGATAGCCTCTTCAGCTGTGGTACAAAAGTTATGAGTGGGAAGACCCAGATATGGTAGACTCTGATGTGAAGGCTAGCTCTTTACTTAAAAAGCTAGCCCAGGGCAGTCTGGGTGGCTCAGCGGTTTAGCATCGTCTTCTGCCCAGGTCGTGATCCTGGAGACCCCGGATTGAGTCCCACATCACACTCCTTGCATGAAGCCTGCTTCTCCCTCTACCTGTGTCTCCCCTCTCTCTCTGTGTGTGTCTCTCGTGAATAAATAAATAAAATCTTTTTTAAAAAAATTAAAAAAAAAAAAAGCTAGCCCATGCCTTGGAAGAAGTAGAAAGTTGATTTTATCTAAGGATAAGCAGGCACTCTCATCCATGTGCTGCAGAAAGCAAATTTTAGTCCTCAAACTCAGCTACAGATGTATAAAATACAGAAACCAAATTGTAAGAGCATTATAATTAACCCCAAAGCCAACACATTTTTAGACATTTAATATAATAAAAGGGCCATAAAGTAAAAGGGCCATTATTGAGTAAATGGGATACTTGGTTAGATACTTTAAGGAAAAATTTTACCTGGTCCTTCACTTCATACTGTGGGGCAAAATAAATTCCAGATAGATTAAGAGTTAAATGTATAAAGAAGGGGGATTGGGAAGGGAGAGTCTTAGGGAGATATTTTTTTAAGGCAGGCAGATGCTCATTTGTTCTCTGAATGAGGAAATATTTTCTAAGCTTAAGAAAAATAAAAGAAATTATCATAAAGAAGATATTGCTACATATGGCTACATAAAATTTCTCACATACAAATTATAAGCATCTTTTTTAGAAACTGAGAAATATTTCTGTAATAAATAAGATAAAAAGTCATATCCTCCAATATAAAAAACTCAAATTCCTATAAAAAGGACTGAGACATGAAACACTAAAGAAGAAAAAGAAATAGCATATAAAATAATTCAATTTTTTATTAAAAACTACACATAAAAGTCTATCATTCTCCTCCTATGCAATTAAGAAAGGTTAGGTGGATAAACAGTCTTCCACATTGGTGAATGTATGGTGAAATGAGTCTTGTTCTCCAGTGATGTAAACTAATAGAACTTTCCTAGGAATAGTTTCACAATATTTATCAAATATCCATCCTTTTGACTCGAATCATTTTCTATGAATGTACTCTAGAAGGAATAAAACTGAAATGGAAGTAAACTGTGCTCATTTTAGAAAAGTTTGTAACAGGAACACCTGGTTGGCTCAGTGGTTGAGCGTCTGTCTTCAGTTCAGGGTGTGGTCCTGTGGTCCCGGGATTGGGTCCTATATGCGGCTCCCCTCAAGGAGCCTGCTTCCCCCTCTGCCTAGGTCTCTGCCTCTCTCTGTCTCTCATGAATAAATAAATAAAATCTTTAAAAAATAAAAAAAGTTTGTAACAACAAAACAATGTTATATAACCCAATAATAAAAGAATTAAGAAATTATGGCATCATTACATAAGAAATACATTATGTAATCATTGACATGATATTTATAAAGGAAAATATTTATTTATATAAAATATTTTGGGCAGCCTGGGTGGCTCAGTGGTTTAGCGCCGTCTTCAGCCGAGGGTGTGATCCTGGTGACCTGGGATCGAGTCCCGCATCAGGCTCCCTGCATAAAGCCTGCTTCTCCCTTTGCCTTTGTCTCTGCCTCTGTGTGTGTGTGTGTGTGTGTGTGTGTCTCATGAATAAAAAAACAAAATCTTTTTTAAAAAATAAATAAAATAAAATATTTCAAGGGGTGCCTTGCTGGCTCAGTCCATAGAGCATGCAATTCCTGATCTTGGGGTATGAGTCCAAGTCTCACATTAGGTGTAAGGCTCACTAAAATATATATATATATATATATATATATATATATTTTTTTTTTAAACACAGGAATCAAAATTGCATGTTCAGTATAATCAGAATTATGATAAAACATAGGGACCGAATTGTCTATCTCTCTAGATGAAAAATGCGCATACCACTTGATCCAGCAGTTCCAATTCCAGGAATTTGTCCTAGATATGCTAAAGCAGAAATGACAGAAATGTTTGTTGAGTGAATGGTTGAATTAATAATTTGATAGAAGAATGGTAATCAACATTTGAGTTCACTTAAATACTCTATTATTTGGATGGATAGTCTGGGGGATGCTTTCCTGAGAACTCCTCCCTAGGGTGAGCTTGTGATAGGCTTTTAGAGAAACTGAGCCTTGACTCAACTCTAGAACTAAGAGCAAGCAGAAGAGGGGCACCTGGGTAGCTCAGTGGTTGAGCGTCTGCCTTTGGCTCAGGTGGTAATCGTGGGGTCCTGGGATCATATGCCCCATCAGGTTCCCGCTATGTCTCTGCCTTTCTCTCTGTGTCTCTCATGAATAAATAAATAAAATCTTAAAAAAAAAAAAAAGTAAGAGCAAGTAGAAGAGGCAGCCCAACACTGGATCTTACCAGAGGGTCCGTGCAATGAGAGATTCCTTGCATCCTTCAACACCTCAAATGCATAACCACTGAAATACAAGAGATAAATGTGTTCTTTAGGAAGTTAAGAACAGAAATACACAGCATCTTAGCACTAAATGAAACATTAAAGATGACCCAGTTCAAGCCCCACATTTTATGATGAAGTAAAAGACTCAGAGAAGGTAAGTGACACATCCAAAGTCACACTGCAACTTAACAGCAAACCCAGGGCACCTTTCATAGTACTTTCATAATCATAAACTGCAAAGTAACAGGAACATAAAAGTGGAGTAGGATGCAAACTAATTTCCTAAAATTACTACATAAAAATACTCTAAGAACAGAGAGATTTTATGTTGAGACTTAAAATAAATTTGAGGTTCTGTTTCACTCACTTGGCTCCTTATTTAGCTTTCTTATCACAAACGACTATGTGTAACAACTTAAACAAATTAATCTTGGAAAATTGTCTTTAAAAGAAATTTTTTTTATGTGAGGAGATAGGTTTTTATTCATTAAAAGTTAAAGCAACAGGCACATTTTAGAAGAATTTTTAAATTTTAATCTACCTGAGGGGCACCTGAGTGGCACAGTGGGTTAGATTGATGAGTCTTGATTTCAGCTCGGGTTGTGATCTCAGGGTCATAAAATTAAGGAACTTGTCAGACTCCATGTTCAGCACAGAGTCTGCTTAAGATTCTCTCCCAGGGACACCTGGGTGGCTCAATGGTTGAGCGTCTGCCTTTGGCTCAGGCTGTGATGCTGGAGTCCTGGGATCAAGTCCCACATCAGGCTCCCTGCAGGGATCCTGCTTCTCCCTCTGCTTGTGTCTCTGCCTTTCTCTTTGTGTCTCTCATGAATAAATAAATAAAATCTTAAAAAAAAAGACTCTCCCAAATAAAAGGCATCCAAATCAGCAAAGAGGTCAAACTCTCTCTTCTCAGATGACATGATACTCTACGTGGAAAATCCAAAAGACTCCACCCCAAAATTGCTAGAACTCAGACAGGAATACTGCAGTGTGGCAGGATACAAATCAATGCACAGAAATCAGTTTCATTTCTATACACTAACAATGAGACAGAAGAAAGAGAAATTAAGGGGTCAATGCCATTTATAATTTCACCAAAAACTATAAGATACCTAGGAATAAACCTAACCAAAGAGGCAAAGGATCTGTACTCAGGGGCAGCCCCCGTGGCCCAGCAGTTTAGCGCCGCCTGCAGCCTGGGGTGTTATCCTGGAGTCCCAGAATTGAGTCCCACATCACGCTCCCTGCATGAAGCCTGCTTCTCCCTCTACCTGTGTCTCTGCCTCTCTCTCTCTCTCTTTCTCTCTCTCTCTGTGTGTCTCACATGAATAAATAAATAAAATCTTAAAAAAAAAAGGATCTGTACTCAGAAAACTATAGAACACTCATGAAAGAAACTGAGGAAGACACAAAGAAATGGAAAAACATTCCCTGTTCTGGATTGGAGCAACAAATATTGTTAAAATGTCTATGCTACTTTGAGCAATCTATACATTCAATGTAATCCCTATCAAAATACCATCGACTTTTTTTTCACAGAGCTGGAACAAATAATCCTAAAATTTGTATGGAACCAGAAAACACCCCAAATAGCCAAAGGAACATTGAAGAAGAAAACCAAAGTTGGTGGCATCACAATTCTGGACTTCAAGCTCTATTACAAAGCTATAATCACCAAGACACTATGGTACTGGCACAAAAACAGACACATAGGTCAATGAAACAGAATAGAGAACCCAGAAATGGACCCTCAATTCTATGGTCAACCAACAAATCATGAAAGAATATCTTATGGAAAAAAGACAATCTCTTCAACAAATGGTGTTTGGAAAATTGGACAGCCATATGCAAAAGAATGAAACTGGACGCCTTTCTTACACCATACGCAAAAAGAAACTCTAAATGGGTGAAAGACCTAAATGTGAGACAGGAATCCACCAAAATCCTAGAGAAAAACACAGGCACCAACCTCTGCGACCTCTGCCATAGCACCTTCTTGCTAGACACATCTCCAAAGGCAAGGGAAACAAAGGCAAAAATGAAATATTGGGACTTCATCAAGATAAAAAGCTTTTGTACAGCATAGGAAACAGTAGATAAAACCAAAAGACAACCGACAGAATGGGAGAAGATATTTGCAAATGTCTTATCAGATAAAGGGCTAATATCCACAATCTATAAAGAATGTATCAAACTCAGCACCCAAAGAACAAATAATCCAATCAAGAAATGAGCAGAAGACATGAACAGACATTTCTCCAGAGAAGACACATAAATGGCCAACAGACACATGAAAAAATGCTCAACATCACTCAACATCAGGGAAATACAAATCAAAACCACAATGAGATACCACCTCACACTGGTCAGAATGGCTAAAATTAACTAGCTAGCAAATGACATGTGTTGGCAAAGATGCAGAGAAAGGGGAACTCTCCTACATTGTTGGTGGGAATGCAAACTGCTGCAGCCACTCTGGAAAACAGTATGAAAGTTCCCCCAAAAGTTAAAAATAGAGCTACCCTACGATCCAGTGATTGCACTACTGGGTATTTACCCCAAAGATACAAATGTAGTGATCTGAAGGGGCACTTGCACCCCAATGTTTATCAGCAGCAATGTCCACAATAGCCAAACTATGGAAAGACCCAAGCTGTCCATCAACAGATGAATGGATAAAGAAGGTGTGGTGTATATATACAATGGAATACTGCTCAGCCATCAGAAAAAAGAAATCTTGCCATTTGCAATGACATGGATGGAACTAGAGGGTATTATGCTAAGTGAAATAAGTCAGAGAAAGACAATTATCCTATGATCTTACTCATATGTGGAATTTAAGAAACAAAACAGAGGATCATAGGGGAAGGAAGGTAAAAATAAAACAAGACATAATCATAGTGGGAGACAAACCCTAAGAGACCCTTAATCATAGGAAACAAACTGAGGGTCGATGGAGGAGAGGAGGGTGGGAGGATGGGGTAACTGGGTGATGGACATTAAGGAGGGCATGTGATGTAATGAGCACTGGGTGTTATTAAAGACTGATGAATCACTGACCTCTACCTCCAAAACTAATAATGCATTATAATTTAAAAATTTTAAAAAGATTTTTTTTTCCTCTCCCTCTGTCCCACTTCCTCTCTCATAAATAAATAGGAGCACCTGGGTGGCTGAGTTAGTTAAGCATCTGCCTTTAGCTGGGGTCATGATCTCAGTGTCCCAGGACTGAGCCTTGCATTGGGCTTCCTGTCCCAGGGGGAGCCTGCTTCTCCCTCTTCCTGCTGCTCCTCCTGCTTGTGCTCTCTTGCTCTCTCTCTCTCTTTCTCTGTCAAATAAATAAATAAATAAACAAATAAACAAAGTCCTTTTATAAATAAATAAATAAATAAATAATAAATCTTTTTTTAAAATTCCTTAAATTTAATTTTCCTGAGTGGAAAAGCTAGGAAGTAGGAAGTAGCTTAGCTACTGGTATTCTCAGTTCTGATATGTGACAGTTTGCAGTCATTTGTTTCCTGAAGATACCTCCTGGTCTTTCTGCCATCTTTCCTTCTGTGCACCTAGAAATCTTAGAATTACATACGGATGGTCCCTTTTGAAAAATAAGTGTCTGGTTATAATACGTGAACAGTGATATATTTTTTTAATGTTTGTAAACTTTGCAGTACAGCTTTTTATGTTCAGATGGATTACTTAAAGTAGCATGAAAATTCATACAGTGAACTACTACACAGAAGTTGGAATGAACAAATAACATCACACGATAATATGGATGAATTTTACCAACAAAAAAGTAAACTAGGGGCAGCCCGGGTGGCTTAGTGGTTTAGTGCCTGCCTTGGGCCCAGGGCCTGAATCTGGAGACCAAGGATGGAGTCCCACATCAGGCTCCCTGCATGGAGCCTGCTTCTCCCTCTGCCTATGTCTCTGCCTCTCTTTGTGTGTGTGTGTCTCTCATGAATAAATAAATAAAATCTTTTTTTAAAAAAGAAGTAAACTAAAGAAGCCAAAGATTGAAGAAAACATACTGTAGAATTCTGTTTATATAAAGTTCAAAAATCAGCGAATGAGTCCATGTTACTTGGAATCAGGATTGTGAAGGGGCACCTGGATAGCTCAGTTGGAAGAGTATAGACTTTTGATCTCGAGGTTGTGAGTTTGAGCCCATGTTTAAAAAAAAAAAATTAGAATCAGGATAATGGTTTCCCTTGGGATGGCCTTGTGGACAGTAACCCAGAGAGGAGGGACAAAAAGGAAATTTCTAGAGATCCAGAAGTTCCATATTCTGTGTCAACAAATGTATTCATTTTGTGAGCCATACACCCATGATTATGAACTTTTTTGTATGTAAGCTATACTTTAACAAGAAGTTTCCTTAAAAATTAAAATAAAGCTGACACTGTTTTCAAAAACAATTTCATTTGCTAAAAATACATATTTTGTAAACATGATACTTCAAAAAAACTGTCTGAAAAGAAATACCATACAAATGTAAACAAATTTTAGTGTCTCATGTTCGGACAGGATAGATAATAATGAATAATGGCTAAGATTCAGAACAATATATTCCAGAAATTGCAGGCTTATATTCCCTGGTTACCACTAGCATTGTGCTTTTCTTAATGCCTGAAACAACATCCAAACAAGGAGCAGCTGCTTCAGCCAAAATGGCTTTTTGGGCGATTTTAAAGACCTTAATGAGGTCAGGTAATTGCTTGGTGAAACTAAAAATTTCGCCTCCGATTAACTAATCAACAGCACTATAGATCATTATAACTATCTCACTTCCACCTACATACCATCGAGTCAATATATGGGAGGCAGGTGTCTAAGAAACCACTTCCTCTAGACCTCTGAACCTGCACTCAGGGGCCATTTTTTAAACATTTATTGAATTAGTCTGGTCTAGTTTACAATTAATGGAAAGTCTGCAGTATTGCAGATTCCATGAGCAGCTAAGGAAGGCTAAAACTTTGAACTAGGGTGTGACATTGAAGCAGACACATTTTATGT